TTCTTGGACTGGCCTTGTGGCCACTGTTGTTTGTGCTCAGACTGTGTGGTGACGTTGTGATCCACCCTGAGCTTTGTTTCTTGGACTGGTCTTGTGACCGTACTCGTTTGGTTCTGCTAGACACCCCTCACTTAGGCTATGGGGGTGTGTCAAATGTTGTAGCCTATAGTGAGGTTTGTCTTAGGGGGTACAAAACTTAGGGTTAGCTATATGTACCCCAACCAACATCAATGCATCATCCATTCCTCATTCTGACATATTTGTATTGATCATGCCTAGATAATGTACTCAAACTCAAACACAGCATGACTAGTTTGTACGGTGTTGATCCAACGTTTATTTTGTTGTGTCCTCTTAAGTTATGCAGCTGTGTACATAACACTGATTATAATGGTGCACTTGCACTCACAGATAGCACAACCATTAAGGGTGCGTCAGATCCGTTGTCGGAAAAATCCGGCCGGCCGGAATTAGCGAAGGTAACACATTTGCGACATTTGCACTGATTTTCGTGCACTTCGTCAAATCCGGCCATTTGTAAAAAATTTGATGGCCGGTTCAGCATTCGACAATTTTCCGACGTGCAGTCGATTTGAAAGTCGACCAATTTGTCGACCTGATATCGCCACAGTCGTTAAGCGACGTCGCCAAGTCGTGCGACGCGACGTGTCACACAAGTATTGCATCTGCGACGCTGTCGCACAATCTACCACCCCCGCGACCTGCAAATCTGACGCGTTTGCAAAGCGGCTTGCAAATCGGCCACCAAATGTATCATTTTTTCGGTCATGTAAATGTGGCCGGATATTGGTCGCTTTTGAAGTCGACCATTTTTGTCGACATTGGCGAAAGATTTAGTCGACCAAATTGTCGACCAAATTCCAGCCAAATCACCTTGTAACTGATCTGACGCGCACTAAGTCCCCCTAATTTATAATATCCCTCCCTGCTCTGCTGACACAAAGCAAAGCAAAGGCAGACGCAACAGCACAACCGGTACCAGCATAGTCAGAGGCTGCTCCTCTTCCTCCTTTGCTGAACTAGAAAATATTGCTCCATTTTCTGCCACCCTTCCTCACTTTTGCTCCACTCTCTGGCCATTTCCGCCCATGCCCATCATCCAGCAACATGCCAAGGCCAGGTCGCTGGTTCTGAGCCGTTCCTGCCTGATTCTGTCTCCTTTCTCGCACATGTTCTCCCTTCTGCATGTGCTTCCGAAGCTGCAGCTCCTGTTGCTGCTGCTGCAGCTGCTGTGCCTCCTGCTCCTGTGCTGCTTCTGCCTGCTGCTCTCCCATCTGCTGCTGCTGCTGCTGCTGCTGCTGCTGCTGCTGCGGCAGCTGTCGTGCCTCCTTTGCAGCTTCCTCCCCCACCATCTGTGCATGCTCATGGCCCTGTCGGGATGGCTCTTGCTGCTGCCGTGGCGTCTGAGGCAGCTTCTGTTGCTCCTGCTGTTGTGCTGCCATATCTGAGGTGCCCTCCTCCACTACCCGTGCAGCTTCCTCCCCCACCATCTGTGCATGCTCATGGCCCTGTCGGGATGGCTCTTGCTGCTGCCGTGGCGTCTGAGGCAGCTTCTGTTGCTCCTGCTGTTGTGCTGCCATATCTGAGGTGCCCTCCTCCACTACCCGTGCAGCTTCCTCCCCCACCATCTGTGCATGCTCATGGCCCTGTCGGGATGGCTCTTGCTGCTGCCGTGGCGTCTGAGGCAGCTTCTGTTGCTCCTGCTGTTGTGCTGCCGTGGCGTCTGAGTATGCTCCTGCTGTTGCTGCTCCGCCTGTCGTTCCGCAATTAGTGATCCCCATTCCCCTGCGACCGGCTGTGCATGCTGCTGACTCTGCTGGCGCAACTGCTCTGTTCCCTGCTGTTGCTGCTGCTGCGTCTGCTGGACAATCTGCTCTGCTCCCTGCCGCTGCAGCAGCTGCGTCTGCTACTGTCTCTGCTCTCGCAACAGCTGCCGTGACTGCTGTTGCTGCTGCTGCGTCTGCTGGACAATCTGCTCTGCTCCCTGCCGCTGCAGCAGCCGAGGCATTCGCTCAGAATCCTCCTGCAGTGCAGGCCTTGCTGCCTCTCCTCCTTCTGGCAATAGAGGGGCCTGGCGCGCCAACTGTGGTGGCTGTTGCAGCAGTAGCTGTGGCAGGTTGGCGGCATAAATGGCGTTCAGCCATACGTTGAACATCCACTGGTCGAATAGAACAAAGTGCACCTGCAGTCGGTTCGGGTTTCCCATGGGAATTGTATGCTTTCTTAGTCGACTCAGAAGTCGCAAAATAAACATCCATTCATGGTGCACTTTGTCACACAGGACATATAGCACAAAGTGCGCCTGTAAGCAGGACGGGGCATGAGAGGGACAAGAGTGTAGAGGAAAACTAGGAGGGGGATTGAGATTCCACCAGCAGGAGCAACCCGTGAAAATGTTTAATGTGAGAGGTATCAAATGTGTCCACCTCATGTAAGTACGTACCTCTTGCACTGACCCCCATGGTTGGGTTAGCAGAACATCCAGAGCAGCTCTGGCGCCCTTCACAGGTGGGTAACTGAACAAATAGGCGAGGAGGGAAAACCGAAAGAATAATAATGCAAAGAGACACGCCAAATAGGGTCAAAGCTTTGAAAAACGCAGAAACAAAGTTACAGAATGAACCCATGAGCCTGTTCATATGACGAACGTAGATTATAGAGTGTACCCGATAATGACGACAAAATCATGGATTGAATTGAAGCTCAGGCTTGTTAAGGGATGGACTGTACCCAAAAATGCCGCATGATATTGCAGGAATGGCAACGTATTTCACTCCACACTTGTTGGCTTCTCTTAGAATGCTCCTGTGCATGGCGGGAAAAAAGTGATGACATGGACAGGTGGGCAGATGGGTAATTAGTGGGAATGGCGATGTATTTGATACCACACTTGTTGGCTTCTCTTAGAATGCTCCCGTGGAAGGTGGGAAGATTGGAAGGCGCGAAGCAGAAATGGAGGTGGGGAACAGAGATGATACGGGGTGGGTGGGCGGGAGGATGACAGTGCGGGAATGGCAATGCACTAAACTGAACACTTGACGGCATGGCACGTCATGGCATGGCCGCGCACAGAACGCACCACAAAGCACCACACAGCACCACAGCACAGCACAGCACACACCTGTATGCTTCTTTCAGCACGGGTGCTGACTCTCTATCAGACCTGTACACAGGCCCCACCGCATGGATCACCCAGCGCATCTATCATAAGGGCACCCCTGAAAAAGATGTCGGCACCGCACAGCACAGCACAGCACCGCACCGCACACACCTGTAGGCAGACCTCAGCACGGGTGCTGACTCTCTGTCACTCCAGTACACGGGCCCCACCGCATGGATCACCCAGCGCACTGGCAGCCTTGCCGCACTGCAGGGTAAAGCGAACATGTTGTGGGAGCAGAGACAGGAGAGAAGAGCAGCTTTCAGCATGGATGATGGCACTCTTATCAGACCAGAACACGGGCCCCACCGCATGGATCACCCAGCGCACTGGCAGCCTTGCCGCACTGCAGGGTAAAGCGAACATGTTGTGGGAGCAGAGACAGGAGAGAAGAGCAGCTTTCAGCATGGATGATGGCACTCTTATCAGACCAGAACACGGGCCCCACTGCATGGATCACCCAACGCACTGGCAGCTGGGCAGCACTACAGGACGAAATGAACATGCAAAGGGTGCAGAGACAGGAGAGTGGAGAGAAATCAAGAACTTGAGAGTGAGGTGCACCGCACCGCACCGCACCACACCGCACAGCCTCACGGCGCCCCGCCTGCTTCACAGCAAGGGCCTTTCTTCAGCACTAGCAGGCCTTAGCAGAGTTATAAAAAAACAACTAATCCAATAGCCACTCACCCTGACGCCTGCCACCCCCTACGGCTGCCACCCCCTACGCCTTCAATCGTAACGGCTACTCACCCTGTGGTCACAGCATCCCCTGTTTTGCAACGATCGCCATTTCTCAGCCTTGGCAGGTCGTAGCAGTGCTTCAGAAGGGTTGGTCCTGCTGCCCTGTGGATGGCTGGTGGGGGGAAAGAGAAGCGGGAATACGAGGAAGGAGGAGTGCAGAAGGGGGAATGAGAAGGCAAATCGCAGCAGAGATTCAGGAGAGTTGGTCCTGCTGCCCTGTGAATGGCTGGTGAGTGTGAGAGAGTGGGGGGATAAGCTGAAGAGAGGAGCGGCTGGGTTATAGAATGAGTTGGGCTGTAATGTTGGATGGACAGGTAGTAGGGATGGGCGTAAGGGGAGGTAGGGCGGGGGGGAGGAGAGGAAGGGAGAGAGAGGGTATAAGTGCAGCAGTGCGAGTGACAAAAGCACACCAGAAACATCATGCTTTCTCTCTTCTCAGCAATCCTCCTTTCCTTCTCCCCATTTCTCTCTTTTACCTTCTCCCCACCCACCTTTCTCTTTTACCCTCTCCCCACTCCTCTCATCCCTTAACCTTCTCCCCTATTTTCACTTTAACTTCTCCCCGCTCCTCTGATCTCATCTCACCTCCATCCACTCCCCCCCCGCCAAGAACTGACTCGTTTGCAGCATTCACCTGCCAGCCATTCACACAACGGAGGAGGAAGGTGAAAGGACGGATGGGAATCGGTTTCTAAGTCGATTCATAAGCGTTTTCTAGTTACAAACAAGAATCCGGATGGAAATTGCTTTTCAAGTCTATTCACCTGCCAGCCACAGGATCAGCACCCAAAGGCGAAAGAAAGTAGAATATCCCAGTTTTCCAACGATGATACCCCCTTACAGTCACTCACAATAGCATCTTTTGAGTTGACTCAAAAGTCACCTCGAAAGAATATCCCACTCTTCCAACAAATGATACCCCCTTACAGTCACTCACAATGGCGTCGCTTGCACCGTTGACAAACAACTTGGTGATATCCCCCCGATGCACCACCAGCACTCGGCGGTAACCAGACGCACAAGCAGAGGGCGCGTGAATGGCAGCAGGGAGGGAGAGAGCAGGAGCTTGCTTGCTCTATCTCACCTGGTTACAGTCACTCACAATGGCATCGGTCGCGCCGTCCACACACCACCTCGTGATATCCCCCCGATGCACCACCAGCACTTGGCGGTAACCAGACGCACGAGCAGAGGGCGTGTGAGCGCTGCTTGCAGTGACATGGGCGGAAAGAGGCGGGACTGCAAATGCAGCCGTGTCAAAGAAAAGATTCGCCTGAGACTGGTGCATGGTGTATGGGGGAAAGGACAGGTCGATCCGAGGAGCTGTGGCTGTACCAGCAGCAGCAGCAGCAGCAGCAGCACCACCACCAGCTGCTGCATCACCCCTGCTGCTCCCTCCCCCTCCAAACCTTGTGTAATCCTGCTGCTCCCTCGCCGGGTGAGTTTCACCAGGGAACCCAAAAACACACCCTAAGTTTCTTCCAACGGCTCCCCAAAACTCATCCCACACCTCCCTCCATCCTCCTCCTCCGCCCCTTGCTCCTTCTGCATCCCAACGCTCCTGAAATCTGTGAGGAGGCATCTGCGGGGAGTGCTGAAACCCCTGAGGGGGATACGACTGGAGTTCCTCGTACTCCTCTTGAGGTAGGGCCAGGCGACTTTCCATCCCTCCCGCTCCTCCTCCCCCTCCCGGTCCGCGCCTTGCCCCATCGGTACCCCAATGCTCCTCGAAACTGTGAGCAAGTAGTATGTGCTGGGAGCGCTGAAACCTATCTTCAAAAATACCCTGGGGGGAAAACATCTGGTTTTCCTTGTAGTTCTCTGGAGGTGGGGCCTGCTGAGAGTCTGTAACTTGCTGGGTGGCAAGAATCTGGGATGGAGGAACCATCTGGTCTTGCTTGTTGTCATCTCGCAACGGGGCCTGACGAAACTCCGTCAAGCCCACCTCATCTCGCGGAGGGCCTTGGCTAGGCCTGACCTGGGGTGTTGGTGGTGCTGCTGTTGCCGCTGACCCAGTGTCCAAACACCGTTCATGCCTTTTCCTTCTCGATTCCTCCTCGCCTCCCTTTTCCATCACTCCCCCCACTCCTCTCTCTGCTTCCCCACCCGCACCAAAAACTCCCCTGGCATCCTTCCCATCTCTCTTCCGTTTCATTTCCTCTGGTTCCCCCCCTCCGCCCGAATCCTCCCCCCAAGCAGATGTTTCCAGGGAAGGGTGTCTTTTAAATCGCAACTGTAACCGTAACTGTGATTGGTCTTTGGTGTGTGGGCGCCCTTCAGTCTTCTCTATTTCTTCATATTCTTCAACCTCCAAGAACTCCTCTCCCTTGTCCCCTTGGCCTGGAAACGCAGCAACAGTCGCAGTGGCCGGTGATGCTGGTCTCTCTGCCTCCCTTGCAGATTCCCCAAGAGCAGTAAAAGGAGCCTCGCTGTGAGCAAGGGGAGGAGGAGCCGTGTGGTGAGAGAGGCACTTTTCTGGAAAATCCTCTCTGTCCTCCCCTTGGCCTGGAAAGGCAGCAACAGTCGCAGCGGCTGGTGATGCTGGTCTCTCTGCCTCCCTTGTAGATTCCCCAAGATGAGGAGAAGGCGCCTTGTCGTGAGCAAGGGGAGGAGGAGCAGTGCGGTGTGAAAGATACTCTGCTGAAAAATCCTCTCTGTCCTCCCCTTCGCCTGGAAACGCAGCAACAGTCGCAGTGGCCGGTGGTGCTGGTCTCTCTGCCTTCCCTGCGGATTCCCTGAGAGGAGGAGGAGGAGTGTTGCTGTGAGCAAGGGGAGGAGGAGCAGTGTGGTGAGAGAGATACTCTGCTGGAAAATCCTCTCCCTCGTCCCCTTGGCCTGGAAACGCAGCAACAGTCGCAGTGGCCGGTGATGCTGGTCTCTCTGCCTCCCTTGCAGATTCCCCAAGAGCAGTAAAAGGAGCCTCGCTGTGAGCAAGGGGAGGAGGAGCCGTGTGGTGAGAGAGGCACTCTCTCGGAAATCCCGCCGGAAGAAGCGGGTGATACAGGGACTCGCCTGGGGTGTTCCCAGCGGGAGGAGGAAGAGCCTTGCCGTGAGAAACGGAGTCAGCTAAGTAAAATGAATCCGACCGGTCAGGTTCCATGCTGTAAGACCCTCAGGGTTTCAGGCCGACCGAGTGAGGAATCTGTCCCAGAGGCAAAGCACAGCACATTTCCACCCAACCGCTGCAATATCCGTTCAAAGGATGAGAGCTCAACCCACACCGCAAACACGCCCAGCACAGCTGTTGGGACCGCTGCGGCGACTTTTGAGACAGTAGCAGTTGGGTGAGTTGGGTTGGGACCGCTGAGCATTTCGAGACTCAGCAAGTCGCTCATGCAGACTGGATAAATTTCTCGCGACTCATGCATGATAAACCGAAGCGCATCTCGAGGCTATAAACTCTTGACAAGCCGCAGCGCATGTTGAGACTTCAACGGATTACCAAGCCGCACTGTCCTTGCGGCTTAGGAATACGCGTGGAAGGTAGCATGGGCGTGTTGGAACCCCCCGCGATAACCCACGGTAGGGCGTGTAGGAGAAGGCGTGGGGGTGGCGAGTGGAAGTGTGAGCAGAAGAGCGAGGGCGTGTTGAAGGCACGATGCATGGATTTAAGAGTCGAAGTAGTATGCACGATGTATGGCGGAATGCACGCGACACGAGGCACGATGCACGACGTATGCGGGATGAGCGCGACACGAGGCACTATGCGATGCATCATGCTGCCTTGACGACGGTGTTTCGCGATTCGCGACGGATGATCCAGCTCTCTAACTAGTTGAGCGTGAACACGCGCCTTAGGACGATGCGATAAAGGCGTGAACACGGCCTTATTCCTGCGTGATGGAGGAGTGGATATCAGTTGATTACGTTTCACGAGGGACGGACTTCGGAGGGTGCGAGGCGTGGAGGATGAAAAACAGTCAATTTGTGTTTTCATTTCCGTAGTCTATACACCCTTTTTGGGCATGTCAGTTATGGCAAACGATTTTCATATTATAATTTCATCATGAAATGAGTCCAGACGCCTCTACTCAACTAGTGTACCTAGTAGCCCTAATTTAGGTGAGGGTTAACGACGCTGACGAGACTTAGCAGCTCAAACTCCAGCACTCTGGGTAAATACAGGTTCGGAGTCTGTCCTCCAGCTCCATTTTTCCTTCCTAACGGGTATAAATTCGCGACTCCAATGCCAGTCCCGCAGCGCCTCGAGCTTCTAGCTCGCAGACTATACGCATCTTGGCACTCGCCGAAACAAGCCAAGCACGAGCAGAGTAAGCATCCGTATACATAGCAGCATGAGCAGGAGTGAGCAGCGCTCTTGCATTTTCAACGGGAACTTGGAGCCGACTGTTAACAGAACTAGGCAAGAATGGTGCATTGAATGGAAGAATTGGGTACAAGTAGCAAACCCTAGTTGGGGTTGTACCCCATATTGGCTACCCCACTACAGCCTACCAACATAATACAGTTTAACACACCCCCATAGGCAAAGTGGGGGAGAACAAAGGGTCACAAGACCAGTCCAGCAAAGCAAAGCAAAGCCCAGGGTGGATCACAATGTCACCACACTCCGAGCACAAGCAAAGGCCACAAGGCCAGTTCACATGCAGTGCTAGATATAGAACAGGACAAGCAGCAAGATATATATAAAGTACAGTACAAAGAAAGTCAAGCAGTAAGCAAATGAGGAAACGTGGACACAAGGCCTAAAGAAGTACAGTGCCGCTGATGATCACTAGGCGGGAGCGCCTTGGTGAAGATATCAGCAGTATTGGCCTTCGAGTCCACGTACACAAGCCGAAGCTGACCGCGCTGCTGAAGCTCTCGAGCAAGAAAGTAGCGAAGAGCAATGTGCTTCGTCCTGTGCTCCAGTCTGTGCTCCTCACACAAGGCAAGGGCTGCCTTGTTGTCACCGTACAGAACTGGAGGAGAACTAGGCCGCTCTCCCAAGTCAGTCAGCAGGTAGGTGAGCCAGCGTAACTCCTGTGCAGCCATGGCTGTGGCGTAGATCTCAGCCTCACAACTAGAGCCGAGAACAGAAGAAGAGCGGGTGGACCGCCACGAGACAGAACCAGAGCCAAGGCTGAAGGTGTAACCCTGTGACGACCGCTGCGTAGCCAGGTCGTCCACCCAAGAAGCGTCCGAGTGACCAGTGAGGACAACTCTGTCGTGTCCTCCAAGCACCAGCCCCATGCCTGATGTACTGCACAAGTAACGCAGCACCCTCTTAGCAGCCTCCCAGTGCTCTCGCCTGTGTCTCCCAGGCGCAACGTAACGAGCAAGGATGCTAAGTGGGTACGCGAGGTCAGGTCGCGTGCAAGTCATCAGGTACATGAGGCAGCCTACAAGCTCTGGGTACGGGCCACTCGGCTCTACGGACTCGTCCGAAGGTGGAGCTGAGAGCGAGTGGCTGGTAGCCAGAGGTGTGGCCTGTGGTGAGGAGAACTGGAAGCCGAAGTGCTGAAGGACCTGCTGCACCATGTGTGACTGACTCAGGGTGATGGTGCGGCGAGCTCTGTCCCGGGTGATCTGCAAGCCAAGGTAGCTACGCAGTTCACCCAGGTCAGTGCAGGTGTGTCTCTTCTGCAGCTCCGACTTCACACGAGCGAGTGCCTCAGTGTCAGCAGTAGCAAAGACCAAGTCGTCGACGTACACGAGAATGTAGAACGGCGGCAGCGACGTGTCTGTGCGCAGAAACAGCGACGGGTCAGCAGTAGACGGCGCGAACCCAAGAGCCGCAAGTGTAGTCCTCAGTGTGTCGTGCCACTCACGTGGCGCCTGGCGGAGACTGTAGACTGGCCGGCGGAGACTCCACTGGGTACCAGGGGGAAACGACCCAGTAAAGCCAGGTGGGCGGCGCAGCCAGATCTCCTCGTGCAGGCTGCCCTGCAGGAACGCTGTGCTGAAGTCAAGAGAGTGAAGCTCGTAGTCACGCTGAGCAGCAACGTGCAGCAGAACCCGAAGAGTGGTCATCTTCGGGGTGGGGGAGAAGGTCTGGAAGAAGTCGACCCCCTGACGCTGACTGAAGCCTCTAGCAACGTAACGAGCCTTGAAGACAGGCGGAGAACCTGGCGGCCGCTTCACCCTGAAAATCCACATGCCATCGACGATGTTCGCCCCAGGAGGGGGAACCTCGTCGACGTAGGTGCCTATGGACTTCCAGGATGCCATCTCTGCGTCCATGGCTGTCTGCCACTGAGAGGAGTAGGGACCCGAGATCGCCTCTGCGTAAGTGCGCGGAGTGGGGATGTCTAGTGCATCCGGGTCTCCCTCAGGGGCAAGCAACCAGGCCACGAGATGAGGTACAGCAGCCGCAAGAGAGTCAAAGTCCTCCTGCCTGTCCTCAAGGACGTCCGTGCCAAGAGCACACTCACCCCCAACGGACGGAGGACAGACAGACTCAGACTCAGCAACAAGACTAGCGGCGTAGTCGAGACGACAGGCAGCAGCAAAGTCGACAAGCTCAGCGACCAGGGCAGACGCAGCAGCAGACTCAAACGACGGGTCAGTGACAACAGTGGCGAGAAGACGCGTAACAGTAGGGTGGGCAGCACGAACACTGTCAGACTCAGGGTCGGGAACGTCAGGAAGAGAAGACGCAGGAGGAGACGGTAGGGGGACACGCTGTGGACCAGTGGAAGGACGAAGGGCCATAATATGCGTGCCAGGAACAGGAGGAGGACGCGGACGCGCGACACGACGACCAGTGGGACCAGTGCGCGCAGTGCGAGCAGCGCGAGCAGCGCGAACAGGCGAGGCAGGACGAGACGCAGGCTCACGACGCTCCGTAAGCGAGTCCGGCTGTGCAGTGTAAGGCACAGGAGCAGGGAGGGGGGAGCCAGGCTGAAGGGGAAGGCCAGTGGAAGACGGGAGGGAAAGAACCTGGCGAAGCACCGTGTCAGGCGGCGGCAAAGCCGACGGCGACGGAGGAGCGAAGAACAGGCGCGACGGCGGAGCTCCGCCAGCACCTCCAGCACCCGGAGCACCAGAAGCACCTGGACCAGCACCCTCCGCCGCAGCACCCCCCGAGTCGGCGACGTCAGCACCAGAGGCCCCAGCAGCGTCAGACCTCCCCTCGCCAGCACCTCCAGAACCAGCAGGACCACCGTGTCCAGAACCGTCAGCTCCAGTGTCGTCAGCTCCAGCAGCTCCAGTACCGTCAGGAAGAGCACCCCCAGACGCAGCAACCCCAGGCTCCGTAGGCTCAGCAGCAGCACCCCCAGGCCCAGTACCCTCAGGCGCAGAACTCCCAGCAGCACCACCTGCAGCAGCACCTGCGAGCGAGCAGCACGGCGGGCGGGCGACGCTGCGAGGCGGGCGGCTCGGCGGGCGGGCGACGCTGCGAGGGGCGCGCGAGGGCGCTAACGAGAGGCGCACGAGGGCGCTAACAAGGGCGCGCGAGGGCGCTAGCGAGGGCGCGCGAGGGCGCTAACGAGAGGCGCACGAGGGCGCTAACGAGGGCGCGCGAGGGCACTAACGAGGGCGCACGAGGGCACTAACGAGGGCGCACGAGGGCGCTAACGAGGGCGCACGAGGGCGCTACGAGGCTAGGGCACGGGGTAGCGTGGTAACCGCATGCGAGCGGTGGTGGGCCCTTAAAAAAAAACGGTCGGTAGGTCCTAGGGACCTCCTGCTCTGAATACCATGTTAACAGAACTAGGCAAGAATGGTGCATTGAATGGAAGAATTGGGTACAAGTAGCAAACCCTAGTTGGGGTTGTACCCCATATTGGCTACCCCACTACAGCCTACCAACATAATACAGTTTAACACCGACACCATCATGTGCGTCATTTTTCCCCCCATTGCGGATCCCGAAGTTCCCGGGATCTACTGGCGCGACGAAGAAGATTGGAAGCCATACACCAGCGCCACGGCCCGCGCGATTCTCAAGGCGGCCTCGCTGGGCCTTGACAGCCTCGATCTGGGGAATTTATGCGGCAGCGTGACTTACAAGCTAGAAATGAAGACTAAGGAGGGCATGAAGCAGATCAACAACAAAACCGGACAGATTAGGCCGGTTTGTGTCATTCCGAGCGGTTGATAAGGATCCTTCTGTGATAAGCCTCTCGTTTCAGCGGACCTTCTCGCTCCTCGTAC